CGAGGCCTGCTCTTGGGGAGCCTGCCCGGCCCGGGGGCTGTGTCTGAGACTCTGCTGTGGCAGACCGGGGCCGGGTCTGGGGCGGCCGGTCCGGGGACAACTGTTCAACCGCTCTAACTGTCCCCTCCCCACCCTGGCCCGAGGTGTGGCCCTCCACGGGCGCCTGCAAGAGAACGAGCCCCGCGGCCTTCGGAGGATGTGTCCCCCGTTCCAGGGTGGGGTGAGGGATGGCGGTGACGGAGGCCGGGACGTGGCACCGTGGGCCGGGGCGCTGGTGGCGCAAGGAGTGGCCCAGTCGGAGGTGGCAGCGGCGCGCAGCCCTCCCTCCTCCCCCTCCTCCAAATCCCTTCAACTGTGCGGGTTGCTTGGAGCCGAGTCGGATTTTGATCTCAGCGCCTCTCTCCCGTGGGGGGCGAGAGCAGCCCAAGTTCGGCTCCGCTTGGCAGTCGCGTGACTCCCCACTCGGAACTGCTAATCACCCCCTTGGAGTTTAGGAAAGTGTCACCAACGGGCTCGGATTACTTGTGCTCACCTCTGTTTTGTTGTAAGCGGAGAGGTGACCCTTTAAGTTTTGCAAAGGAAGTGAGAGTTCTTTCACGACTGATTATTGCTTTCCATCTCTGTAAGCGTCTTGATACATTTTAGAACTCTCTTCTATCTCTTTTGAGCCTCATCACCCCGTGTGGTTGCGACTGATCTGTTTTGCCATCTGAAAGGGGAAATTGAGCTGGGGTGAGGGACAGTTACGTGGTTTATGATACCTGGGCTCAACCCACTGGTGCGTGGCTTGCCTTGTATCAGACTTACATTTCTAGTCTAGGAGTTCTGGTTTCATTTCGTGGGATTTGTATGCCCTTCTCAGCTAGAAAGCAAGGCAGAAATTTCGACATTTCAAAATAATACGAGAAGCTATTCGATTACTTATTAAATTATTTTTGAGCAAACTCACCTAGGGTAAGAGCTGCTTGCTGGTCAGTTATGAGAAGAATCTTACTTATTTAGGGATTGCTGGTTAATAATTTTGTCTGATAAATTGTGTTTCTCTTGATGCACTTAAAAGATAGTGTGATAGCTTTGCTAAATCGTGAAGTTGATGGGCAAAATGTAGCGTTAACTCATGGGCTGCAGAGAAGTAAAGGGAAACTGAGTGAGATATTTCTTCTGAATTTTATTAAAATTATTATTTAAAATTGGAATGCATAAGAAACAAAGAAAAGCCAGCTCTGGTTAGAAGTTGACTTGGAGCCGGGCTCGGTGGCTCAGCCTGTAATCCCGCGCCTTTGGGAGGCCGAGGTGAGTGGATTGCCTGAGCCCGCGGGTTCGAGACCCGCCTGGGCAGCGAGACCTCATCTCTACAATAAATCAGAAAATCAGCCGGGCGTGGTAGCACGCGCCTGTAATTCTGGCTACTCGGAAGGCTGAGGCGGAAGGATCGCCGGAGCCCGGCAGGTCGAGGCTGTGGTGGCCGGGAGCGGCCACTGCACTCCAGTCTGGGCGACAGAGTGAGACTCCAACTCAAAAAAAAAAAAAAAAAAAAAGAAGAAGTTGACCTGATCCAGATCAAAGTGACTAAGTCTTCTGAAGCTATAGTTCTGTTTTGCCTTTTTATTTTATTTTATTTTTTTTTAGTTGGAGTCTCACTCTGTCGCCCAGACTGGAGTGC